AAGATTACCATGAAGGACTAGCCGAGAGTGAATCATTACTGCTAAGGATTTCATCTACTTAGCAGATCTAAGTATAGAGTATGAAATACTTGCACTACAGACGCTATTTTTCCTTGGATCTGATGTTTTGCGAGTACCAAAAAACCTTAATTTATCTTGGAGATAGATAAGACAATTGAAATCGGTGCCAGTGATGTAGGAAGATTATTCCTAAATAGATTCATATTCGATTATGGCACTTTGCAAACTGCTCATTGTCGATAAACCTATTCAAGACTTTCAGTTTTCGTCGACAGTTACCTTTTTTAGTCTGACTAGGTTATCACATGAAATTGCTTCCAAGCTGCTTCTAAAACATCCTAATTTCGTCAACGATAAGCCAAATCACCATTCTAGCCTTAAGCTTATGCTAAAGACGTGGTCATCAAACAATAAGGAATGCCGTCATCCCTCCTCACGACGTCGCCTGGCTTACTGTCGTTTTATGTTGGCTGTCGTCAAATAGAACGTAAATGTCGCATTTAAACAAACGACATGACCTCCTGACCTCTCCGTGAAGTACCATTTTATGACCACTGTCTGTCATATGAGGTATTATGGTACAAGGCTGGTCACTAAAAATTTCTCCAAATTTGGATCCTTTCGAAACAAAAAAATCATCATAGACGCTTCAAAAAGAACTCTTCTTGAGACTTCGGAGAACTCGTTCGTCATAGATATCTAACTATCCAAGTGAACAACCCTGAAGAGAATGAGTGGTATTCTCCCAGTAAGTTATTGATTTTTTAGAAAATTCTACATGGGTACTTTTTTTAGTGGTATTTAATTCAACGGTAGAAGAACACTCATTAAGAAGTTAGTGAGTTTTTTCTGCTGTAGGATGCATTGCCGTCAAAAAAGCAGATAATTATGGATAGCGGGAATAGATGACAACCTGTCCTGTACAAAAGGTCTCTGAGAATGAGGAAACTTCATTCGAGCGGCACTTTACTCCATCGGATTCGACTCGATGCGACAACGACCACCCACATCGCGAGGGCGACCACCTGTGGACTATCGACGCCGATTAGTCTGGCTCTGAAGAAGACGAAGACGTCAAAACGTTAGCCAAATAAATATTTTATGCTGAGCTCGTGTCAGCTCAGTAATCCAATAAAGTACTAGTGATATTTTTTTGTAAAAACAAACAATAAAAATGAGATGACGGGTTTTCTGTGAAAAAATCGGAACTAGAATTCACTTCCGGATGAGGTCATCAATTGAAGCCGTAATTAAGCAATATATCCCTTCTTTTTCATTTGTGTTCTACCCATTTTTCGTCATTCTACCATCTTTTCCCACTACAATCATATTTTGTACTTGTAGGATATTACCCAAGTGGCCATCTTTTATTTTCACTGTAGTATTATTTGTTGTGATATGGTTTGCTCTGTAATAACTAGTTGACGTCTGGGCAGTTTTCTCGCAAGGAACTGAATGCACACTGTGATTATCGATCGATCGGTTATGGTCAAAAGATCTCAATCCACATCATGCACCTTGTAACCGAAAGTGTTTGTACAAATCAGACACTGTTCGGTACTACAGGGTAGATGAGGGAAAGAGTAGGAAGAGAGAAGGGAAGGAAAAAATAAGGAACAGAATGATGAGGAAGAGGGATATAGAGAAAAGGAGGAAGAAGAGAATGATAAGAGACAAACAACAGAAAATAACAAAGATAGGATTCTATACGATAGTTAAAAGAGACGAAGGGAAACAAACCGGCATGCAAAGCAGTTCAATCCAAACATTTTCCAAAAGCTGAAATTAGGAACAAGAACGAAAAAACAAAAGAAGAGTAGAGAGAAAGAAAAGGAGAAGAGGTAAAGACCAAGAATGTTGTCTCCTTTCCAAAATAGTTTGTTTCAATTGTCCGTTTGTTATGTGTGTTATTCAACTGTGCAGTAAAAGAAGAAACATCTCAAAAAATTTGTCATCGATCCGAAGCTATAAAGGCGATCAATAAGCGATTGTTTAAAATTTTTCCCTAAGTTAAAACGCTGTGAAACGGTAAAACCTCTACAACTACATTGAATTTGGTACTAGTTGGGCAGCTGATGTGTTTTCGATTACGGTAATCTCAAATACGGTAAACCACAAAAGAAAGAAGAGAAGGGTAAGAAAAGAGACAAGGATGGGAAGTACAGTAGAGGCGACATTAAAAGGGGTTTGTGTGTTTTTTTCCCCAGCAGAAGAAGGAACGAGCAATAAGTTTGAAAACTGGTAGCAATCCATGTCTTAAAAACCGAGATTTATTGAATATTGGTAACTATAATTCAATAGAAGTTTTTACCAATCTCGTGTTACCCCATTCATGCAAAGGGTTTAGTAATCTCGATCGAAACGTGTTTTGTAACAAGAGATCGTTTGGAAGAAGATTATCGATCCAATTACTGATTGACGATAGTCCCTTCTTAGTAAACTGTGCACACCGTCATCGACGTCGTTGACGTCGTCATCGTCTTTGCCGTCTTCAAGACGCCGTTTATGTGATAGCGTCAAGGCTAATGCCGACGACGATGCCAAGCGAAGCTTTGCCCGTCCTAGTATCTCTCTCTCCCTGAAAATTATGGACCGCGCTCCTTCGTCGATAGACAGATTGCTGGGCGATCTTCCAACAAATGTAAAATTACGTATGAGATGCTCGTCGACGAGAAAACCACTTTGAAGAGAAAAATGCTATGCTGATGAGAATTTGAAAAAAAGAGGACAAATGAATTTTAGGTATGAATTTATTCATAGGAACTCCAAAGCTGGTTTCACGTCATGGAACCATTATGTTCGAAATTATAAGATTCTTTCCCCCTCTCTCTCTCTCATTTTGTATTTTGTCTTCCTCTTTTCTCGACCTCATTCTCTCCTTTTCTTTCTCTCCTTCTCCCACCTTCTCACTCATTCTTTCTCTACTTGTATCACTTTTCACTGATTTTCCAAAGTGAAAAGCTATATTATTAAAGTAGCATTCATACTGTTCATCCAGACTTTTACTGAATTTAATAGCAGTGGTGTTAAAGTAGAAAGAAATATTATTTCATTACCTGAAGATTTGCCACGCATTTGCCAAAACGACACGCTTATGTGAATAACATATGCATACATAGACACGCATATAACTATATATATATATATATATATATATATATATGTATATACATTGTATATATATATATATACGCCTATACATATACCGCACCACCAAAAAGTTGATCAGACAGCGAAAAAAATGTAGCAAAGCAGTGAAAATGTCTTAATGAAGTGCAACAATGAGCGGATTAAAACGAACGGAATGGCAGCAGAAAATGCATCGTATTTGGTGATTTTTACAGTTTTTAAAAGCTCTGAAAAAGTACTGTGGAGTCTTGAAGCAACAACTATATTTAAGAGTGCTGCCATATTCCAGGAAGCTTTCTCACTCCGCATCCACGAAAACATAATCCTTCGTGCTAATCGAAAACACACGTTAATAAGTATTATGGAAGAGTCACAATTCTCATTATATCCACTGAAATCCTTTATGTGAAGGATATCAAACCGATATTTCACTAAGGGTTCGTAATGCTCTTTTAGGTTATTCCTGGAGCGCCGAGCACTTATCAAAAACGATTATTTACTTGTTTTGAGATAACGATGGAATCAGGAAACGGTGATGCTATATAAGTTCTCAGATAAGCAACTAGGAAATCCACAATTTGCCACTTAGAATCGCCATCAACAGAAAATCCTTACATCTACTCAGAGGTGGCCGACTTCAAGATTCCCTCCAAGGAAAAGAGAAGCGAAAGAGGCAAAGATGTAATCTGGCCTAAGATAGTAGAAAACACAGTACCTAGGGTGTTAAGGGTGGCGAGCACTTACTGATATTTATTAGCTGATCTTGGAAAGTTAGTAGAACTACAAATGGTCGAATCAGTATGTACTATCGAGCGGCCATTGATGTTTCAGGGATTGCTTGACATTAATCCGTCTAGCAAAGGAACGTTTTTTTACTTAATAGATTATTGTTCAACAGCAATCACTCAAAATTCTGAGGTCTTCGTCTTGCTATCAGAAGAAACGAAGAGAAATAACAAACGAAGGATTAGATGGATAAATTGATTATGACACTGGTACGGCGTTCAAATGTTCTCATAAATATGGCAAAGCAATAGATGAACTTTTCCAGCAACAGATACGACGAGATGAAGAACTTATCTATTTGTGTCCAAGTGTACAGTAATCATGGACGACGATTGCAAAGGAAAAAAAACAAGTGGCAAATGAGCTAGGGTCCGCATAACTCGTGAAGATCGACCATCCAAGTATCCAAGTAAATAGTTTACAGTAATAATCCGATAACCTATTTTCTTCGTCATCTACCATGTAAGTAGGCGCTAACGGTGAAAAGTGTCCTTGAGAAAGCCGCTAAACTTTGACTTTAGCTTTCCTTAGGAGTCGATGAAGAGGCAGTGAAGAAATTAAGGTGATTTCCTACGTAGTCTTAGTATTCTGCTACAAGTTTCCAGTAGTCTAGTGGTAGCAGAAGCTAGAGAGAAGAAAAAGGCGGCCGCTATGACAAATTAATACGATGTATTCTAACTGCCGAGGAAGAAATAGCACTTGAAAAATCTGAATATCGTTTCAGGCTACAGTCACCAATGGAACCACCTCTCTTTTTTTTGCGATGTAATAATGCGAAATCATCGAACGTGATGTGTAGGAGACCATCAAAATCCGAAGAAAAAACATCTAAAATGTCATCATTTAACAAGGTCGTGTGATGAACATTCATGAGAAGGACGAATTCGTTTCGATTCATTTGCGCTGATATGAATATCGGCCACATGGATAGAATAAGTTAGATTTATTGGTTGGATACGCGCTTAACACAATTCTAAAACACGAGACATTATAACTAAATTGACCACTGTCATTGGAAAAATGACTGCCACATATGAGGAAGAAACATCATCATCGATTGGAAATCAATCGATTTCAGTATATTTAAGGATCTCGAGTGAGCTACGTTTAAGCGAATAGGACGAATGAATCACTGTAATCCAGTACGATCGCGATAAGATGCGATGAGTGAGGAACGAATCCTCGATTAGCAGTATGGGCGCCAACGCCCGCCCACAAAACTGCGACGCATCATTGGCAGTGACGGCCGCGGCCGTGCGTGTGCACTGTGGGTGAGTGTCGTTAGTGCTTCGGTTCTTGTAATAAGCCTTGTTGAGGATTAATTTCAAGGTGGACATTGCTGTTTCGTAAATGAACCACATCACACAAAGTCTGCCACTCTCGCTCGTTAACCGCCATTTAACTAGAGGAAAACCGTAATTTTTTTGAAGAGCCAACTCAGGTTGTGTCCGGAGTTACTGTAATAGTCATGGTTGAAGGATGTTTGTCAAGCAGGGAAATGACTACTTTAAAGTCTTCTCGGGTTTATGGTTAGTTATTGATCTGGTCACGCGTTAGTAATTGTACATCGATCGGTCCTGAGCAGAATGATATGTACACCCAACTCATTCTCTTGTTGTTCCGCGACTTGAAAGCGAGCTTTCAGCAAGGTACAAAATTATGCTCACTACTAAGTGCAAATCAAAGAATTGGTACCCCTTCGAGGACAATAAAGCCTTTTTACCAACTTCTTAAAATTCTCACCAAAAGCGAAATTGAACAAAGTGATATTACTCCCCTGAAACTGCTTACCGTCCCATCGTAATCTTTTCTATGAAGACCCTTGTTTGGAAGGAAAAAGCCGTAGCATTGATGGAAAATTTCTATGAAATCTTTGTCAGCAACATCGTTATTCTTCTTTAAGAACTAGAGGCGATACTCGGTGTGAGCTTAATGAGGTAGCAGTACTATAGTTCTGTTAATAAATCACAATCACCCAGTCACTGAAAAATCACTGAAAAAACACACACGGAATGGGAGGGAATCTAAATTGAAGGAGTTCGTCTACTCATTGGAAACACATTTTGCGATTATTTATGGCGTTCAATGAATCTTAGTCAGCGACTTGAAAAATGGTTTGTAGAAGTGAAAAGGAGCATTACGGACTACCTCCTGACCAGATATTACGCTGAGATTTCTGTGCTAAATCCATGGGTGATAGCGAAAGATGGAAACAGACTTCGTCGTTCGGACCGTGTGGGTCAATTAAATGATTGTAAGATTTAATGAGAGTTTGACGGAAATAACAACAATGAATCCCGTGATAGTGAAAGCGTCACAACGTGATGATCATCACACGGTCGTGTTCAGACAGCCGCACACGAAGACCTTAGCAGTCACGAAGTTGATTACTTCCATGTATTACGACTGTGAAGGAGCGAAACGGCCACACAATGTACTACTAGCAATATCTGCAGGATACGTTAACGAAGCTGTGAAATCAACCTTTCTTGAGTGGTCTATCTTCAACAAAATTTGTGTTGCTCCAGCACACCCTTTCTTTAACTGTTATTTTACTAGTTTAGAAAGATTAAAGATACCTTGGAGTACCGCAAAGCTCAAGTAGACGTGTTCCAAAGATGTAACCACAAGTACGCGCTAGCTCTAGAGCATCGAAAGGAGGTTCGCTAACTTCACACCAACTTACTTTACACTTCATTGGTCTTCCAGATGGAGACATTAAACTTGTTAGTAGCTTTTGTCATCCTAGATGTATCATCCCAGATCTATATAGAAAGAACTTCCCAATGACGATGAGGTGGTGAGCCATTGGTATTGGTGAGGATTCTTCTGTGAGATGATAAATGTGGTTTCTAGGTTTTTAAAAACTTCGGAACCAACCTGTTGAACCCAGTAGGATTAAGCACGCTACGTACCGACATGCATTGAATATTCATGCAAACTGCTCACTTATATATAATCTTCGTTGGAAATGAAATGTGCACTTAGACACAACGATTACCACTTCTACGAATGACTTCACAAAACATGAGACCTCTATAAAAGCTTAGAGAAACAATTTTCAACTGCAAAAATAAAAAGAGTAAAATAAAAGGATAAAAAGGATGGAGCTCTCGGCGTTGATCAATCCATGAGGAATGCACCATGCACTTGACTTCATCAAGTATAGTTGGAGGTGATTGAATGCATATCTGGCTTTTACAATGACTCGTGGTGCCCTACCGATTCATCGAGCCAGTGCTGCTATCCTCTCAGAGAAGTATGGTATCAATTTGCCTACACCGGAGAGATGAAAGGCTTGGTGAGCCAGGGGCGCCGGGATCGATTCCACATGTGTGGCAGAGCGCCTCCGGCCACTGCGCCACACGCACCAAAAAAGTAAAATAGTGCATCACAATTGCAAACATTTGTTAGTTTGAGATACCAGCAAGGTCCTTCATATGGCCACCACATTCGGCAAAATATCTGGAAAAAAGATAGCTAAGCTACAAGCAAGATTTACAAACAATCGAAGGCAATTTACTTTTTAAAGTGGTTGGTAACTGTGATAATTCATTTGCTAACATAACAATCTAGTTGCTGTCCTACAGTTCTGCGGAAACAGAAGTCAGAAGAAACCATTGTTATTCAGTTTTAATTTTTGAGCAATCGATTCATTTATTATGAAGGACACTTCGGACACGGCTGCTTTATAGAAATCTGGTCACGAGATTGATTCCTAGACCCGCCGAGCACAGCGTTACAATCCATAAAGAAGCATGGATTTCAACTTATCATTGTGTCGATTTGCTGTGCATTCATTTCGGTGTGACAGTTTCAAGAGCCATATTTCGTAAGAAAGGATTTACCCTGGATCGGTTCAATCTCAATGACTCATAATGCCATCCGAGGGTAATGAAATTTTAGTTTGTGAGCAACTAGCTTGAGTGGTTGGATCGTCTCGGGTTGATGCAGCCCTTCATCCATCCGAGATTAACAAATTAGTATCAAACTTGTTTGAAAAAAGCTGATTCCGATCCCCAAGTACCAGTGGACAGCTTTTGTGAAGACCTGGTAACCTCTTGTAGCCAATCCCCCATCCCAAATTGAGAATGAGTCAACTCAACATTTAGCTACATTAATGCAGAAGGCAAGATCCTAAATTAACTGCTGAACTTACTTACACGTAAAACCGATGGTATTCTTGGATGAGGATGAGTAACAACGAAGTAAATGAAAGAAATGCCGCTACCTGCTGAATGCATACGTTAATACGACTGGAGAAACAACCGCCCAGTCTGCTGTGAATCAGCTAGCGTTGGCATTAACGAAGCTTCCTTCTTGAATTTACGTGACAGTGGAGAAAGCTCAAATTTGAAGGAAAAGAGATAAGTGAAAAAATAGTTTTCATAGTCCTATAATGATGTTGAGCTATTGATTGACTATTGAACATCAAAAAATAGCGAAATCTAACCAACTTACTGAAGTTGAAGCAAAGGGAAGACGTTAACATAAATTTAGTGATGACGTTACTATATCGTTCGCAAAGCACTTAGGGAAGCTCTAAGGTTAAAAGTTCAGTGACTTTATTTATATAGCTCACTTAAGACGGCTTGATCCTGCAGTACAGCAATAAACCACGCTTAGCCAGCACATGACGAATTTCACCTTTATACGAATGATTACATCGACATACCGTCGTCAGGTCGACATCGCAGACGTCGATGCACTTTTATTAGATAATTCTTTTCTATCCCACTTCCTGCCCTAACGTATGCGTCAGGAACCTGGTTGCTGCGTAAGCAGGATGAAAGGTCACTCAGCGTTATCGAACGCGCAGTCGAAAGGACGATGTTAGGAGTATCTCGTTTCACACAAGTAAGGCATGGGATCCGAAGCTCCGATTTGCGTCAGTGATCAAAAATCAAAGATGCCGTTCTGTACGCCAAACAGTCGAAGATAAGGTGGGCCGGACACGCAATGCGTATGAATGACAACCGAAAGACAAGAGCCGTTAGTGAGTGGATTCCTCGGGATGCCAAACGTACTGCAGGAAGACCACCGACCCGATGGTCAGAGTTCTTCACGAGGAGCCTAGAAGAAAAATATGACGCTCGACTAGTCCTGAGAGCGAGCAGAACCCACTGGGCTACTCTTGCACGCGGCGGGGAAAAATGGAAGATTTACTGGTGCCCGCTCGAGTCACTCAACGATCAACGGGACTACAGGTGATACAGGTGATATTTGCACGCTGACGTTTCGGCGGATTTCGCCTTCCTCGGAGCCTGGAAAGGTCAAGTTGACTACAATCTACACGGCCAAACACCTCCATAACTAATCAGAGAAAATGCTAAACCAAGATTTCAATGACATTGAACACAGAATAGCTTCTTTGCACACTCACCGCTTCCTATGGGTCTTCCACTGAGTATGTCACGTAGAGACCAACCGCACAGAGTTCACATATTCAATCAGTGCCGAGGTTAATAGAAAGTCGGTTGTGAGAGATACTCTTAATAGACTTCCGATGATTATTTATTGATGAATATTGACCAGTTAAACGGTAACCATACTGGGCTCCATAGCAGAAGTAAAAGAACGCGGTTCGTTCGTCATAGCTCGATCGCAATACGATGACTTTGTTGGTGTATAGGAGCGTAAGTGTGCCGATGTCGGAGCGTGGGTTTTATTATTCAAATTTCTATCGCCACACCACGCTCTCATACCATTGTAAAAACCGTGTTCATAGGGCGATGATGAAAACGAGGAACGCATGTGATTTTCGGCACTTCGTCAACTAGGGACATGTTTATTCATTGTTGAATGCATTCGTTGGTTTTCGTCAGAGCTTAGGAATGTGGTTATGACGATTGTCGTTGCGAATTATTCACAAACCATTGAGCCTTATGATTTCATGCTTCGATCGATGACTTTGCCTGTTATGTGAAATAACTTCTCGAAGGGGCTAAATCTTCTCCTATAGGAAATAACTCGAAACCCCATATTGACGGCGTGATCGAATAAACCAATTTGGGTTCGAGGTTATATCTTTTCTGTTCTCTCAACGATGACCGACTTCAGTAGTGGTTGACGATGCCGTTAGAAATACTTCGTCACGGAGCCAAAAATGAAGTTGTTAACCTGTTCATTTATTTATAACCTGACGTCTTCGACTAAATAACCTTTTTCCACAAAAACTCTACCGGGTTAAATAAGGTAACCCCTTCTTGCATATACGTTGCATTCTTTCACATCGAAAAAAAAATGAAACGTTAGGCGAAGTACTTCACTTTGCAGTGAACCGAAAGACAAGGTGGTTTTAACCCATTAGTAATTCTGCAAAAATCAGAGCTCATGTTTTAAAATACGGTATAGATTTTTC